AGACTCCTCATTTTTATGGAGTACCGAAAATTCATAAAACAAATATACCACTTAGACCCATTTGTAGTACCATAAATTCTCCTTGTAGTGAACTATCAAAATTTTTATTAAATATTTTAAAACCATTTACAAATAAAAATGACACATTCATAAAAAATACACAACATTTTTTAAATAAATTATCAAATATTGAATTTAATTCAAATCATACTTTGTTAAGTTTTGACATAAATAGTTTATTTACGAATGTGCCATTAAATAAGATTTTAAGTATAGTCAAGACAAAACTAGAGAGTGATGATTCATTGGCAACTAGAACAAGACTAAACATATCGGCTATAATGGAGTTATTAACATTATGTACTGATAATACATATTTTCAACTAAATAATGAATTCTATAAACAAAATTTTGGTCTAGCTATGGGCTCTAGTTTATCTCCATTCTTAGCCGATATATTTATGGAAGATTTTGAAACAAATATCATTTCTAAACAAAATTTCAAACCCACAGTATGGTGGAGGTATGTAGATGATGTATTTTCAATATGGCCTCATGGATCAGAGTTGTTGGACACATTCCTAAATGATATAAACGATAAAGAAGAGACAATAACATTTACCATGGAAAAGGAATATCATAACACGCTACTTTTCCTGGATGTTTTAATCTCTAAGAACGATACTGGATATGAGACTCAGGTGTATAGAAAACCAACACACACCAATAGATATTTAAATTTCAAATCAAATGACAATAATAATGTAAAAAAGGAATAATTAAATCCTTATACGATAGAGCCAAAATTACTTGTTCTAACGAAAATTCGTTCTTGGAGGAGAAACATTTGTTAACATCTGTTTTATTAAAAAATGATTATCCTTTATCGTTTATAAATAAGGAATTTTCAACAATCGATCGAATAGAACAGAACGACTTAGAACGAGATCCTACAGCATACACAAGGAATAATATGAGGAAAATAACAATACCGTACATAAAAGGATTATCAGAAAAACTTAAAAGGATAGGAAATAAATTCAACATTCCAACAACATTCAAAACAACAAAAACGTTGAGATCTATTTTGTCCAAAACCAAACCTAACAATGAACAAGAAAGGACAAAAAACTGCATTTATAAAATACCTTGTGAATTCGATCAGCTTTATTTAGGTGAATCATCAAGGCCATTAAATGTTAGAATAAGTGAACATCAGTCTTATATTAAAAATAAAGAATTTGATAGATCTCAAATATGTAAACACGCATGGGATAATGAACATAGGGTTCAATGGAATGATTCAAATATAGTCCTAAAAGAAACGCAAGGTAAAAAGAGAAAAATCAAAGAAGCGGCTCTAATTATGCTAAATGAGGCCAATTGTGTCGCAAATTCCTCGCAGAATGTAGTAGGAAGTTATTAATAAGAAAATACCAGTATTAGTAAGTCAGTAACATATAGAGGATACATCATTTATGTTTTTTAAATAACGTAACATATAAAATCAGAATTTTGATGTTTGTTGAAGGTAAACTAAATTCACGAACAAATACTTACAATGTCGGGATAGTATTATGAGGTTTTTTCCCGGTTTTTCCCTCATAATTTACTATGGAATCACTAACAGGAGAATTTTACTGTCATCATGTCATGTGTTTGTCTTTTTAAAGGCGAATTACATGCTATGATTTTTTCTGACGGATATTCTCAAGTTAAAGTTGATTTCATGTAATCGAATGAACTATCTTATAAGTAAAGTCGTCCCAGGAGCGCAACTCAACAATATTGGCAATATCATTTTAAAGTCGTCTACTTTAAAATGCATAATGTATGTCTGCATTGTCAATATAAGTGAGTCAGATAAAATTAAATTATTAGAAGAATTTTTCACTATGTAACAAAAAACAAAATTTGTTTAATTTACTGTTTGTATTTTGAGAACGATTTCTGAAGTGGAAATTGAAACGTCAATAAACGTATTTTTATCTTTAATTGTGGCTTATTCCCAGTTTAACAGTAATTAATTTACAATGCCACAAGAAAATAGCTTCAGAACAATATTAAGAAATCCGTTGATTTGGAAAGAAGTTTCTTAATTTACAAATATGTGTGCATAGATAGACGTTTTTATTGGAAATTTTGAAAAAAAATTTGATCATTTATTATTTCCATAATTCTAAGGAATATTATTTTGTTTCTTTTTTACTTTTATCTCAATTAATTAATACATTACAATTACCTGCTTGGTTTTAAAATTTATTTATATTGTTTTCGAAAAATAAACAATAATTAATATAGGGGAAGGTGAGGTAAAATGGGATACTTAACGTTTGAGGCTGTATAACACCGAAACTATGTATTGGTAGCTACTCATATTTTGGCACATTGAAAATTATTATTTATTTTTATTTTTGTATCAAAAGTACAACAAAAGATTTTTTTATAAATATATAAAAAAGTTATATGCAAAAACTTGACACCAATACAATTTCCCATTTTACCCCCACTGTGTGGGTAAAACGGGATATACCGTGGGGGTAAAATGGAATGGGATTTTTCTATGTTATTTTAATTAATTTTCTCTTTTTTTTAAGTTTAATTTTTTTTATTTTTATGCAAAATACAACAACTTAAACTCAAAAATTTAAAAGGAACGAAAAAGAGCAATAAACTAAATAAGAAATAACGATGGGTTAATCCCAAAAAACCCAATATTAATAGGAATAATAGTACAGAACATTTTGCTTAAATATTAATAGGAATAATAATGATTAAGTTCTGAAAAATAACATTTTTCTCAACTTAATCATATCTGCAATATTCGCAAATTAATACATCATCATCGCTGTCAGCTCCTGCACAAGTCTCATGTCCCCATTTTTTACAATTGCAGCATTGTATCCAGCCTTCTCCTTTTTTGTCTGAAGAATATCTATTCTTGCAATAGAAGCATTCCTGATCTGCAGTACTGTCACTGTTTTTAATCTTCTTGGAAGTATTTTCTTTTTTTACGGTTTTCTGCTTTAGTGACTTAATCTTGGCCTTTGAGTTAACATTTTTAACATTAACTTTTAGTTTTCTGGTAGCTAGAGATGTCTCCAATTCTTCTTTATATGAGGCGCTTGTTAATATGACAGTTTTACCTTTATTTTTACTCTGTTGCTTAATTGTTTTGCGGTGCTTTTGGATAGGGAACAACTTGTTTCGGAGAAAATAGACTTAAACCAGTGCTTGTTGAGGGCATGTCCATAATCAAACCTTTAGAAGATTCAATATTTTGTCTTTCTGAAGTCACTTGTTCTTCGACAGGCTGGTCATTTTTGGATTGACTTTTTTCGGAGATGGATATGTTTTCTTCAATATTTGGCTCGCGATCAGTAGGCAAAGCTGCAGCGAACATCTCTTCGGTAGTACGATTCAGTGGAAAAATTCCTGTTTTTTGGAAACCGTTAATGGCATTTAATGGAGTAGATGCTCGTAGGTAAGCTTTTCCAAATAGGTGAGGTACCTCTGAGATAGTTACACATCGCCCTGGATGATGTCTCAGCCACACTTCTATTTCTTGCGTATAAAATGTACTTAACGGATACATTAAGAAAACATCCAATGGCTGCATTCTATGGCTCGTATGAGGAGGTAGACAAATTATTGTCACTCAATTTTCACGTGCTTTATCAATAATAGCAATATTTTGTGTATGGGTTTTATGCCCATCCAAGATTAAGAGAGATGGGTTTTCTTTTGATGATTGAGTGTGATAAAGAAAATGGTCAAACCATTGTTCAAACAAGTTAAGCTGCATTCAACCAGATTTCAGTAACGACTAAGGTTCCTGGCGGTGCACCCTCTGAGAACTGCGGCTTCATACAAACTCTGGAAATAATGATCATAGGAGGAACAAATATTCCACTCGCACTCATGCAAATTACAGCAGTAGAAAGCTCCCCTTGTTCTACATATTTTAGGGTGCCCACCTGTTTTCTACCCTTGACTCCAATCACTTTTGATGGATGACCTTGAACTGTTGTAATCCCGGTTTCGTCAACGTTAAAAATACGGGAAGGTGGCAAGTTCATTCTTTATTGAAAAGGCTCCAAAATGTCAAAAAAAGATGAAACTGCTTCCTTGTTAAAGCCTCGAGCACGTGCAGCTGATGTTGTTTCAGGCAAACGGAGCGAAAGTTTATTCCGTTTCAAAAAAGCGCGAAGCCATTCCCACCCAGCCAACTTGGTGTTTTTGTTGAAATGATGTTTGATGTTGTTTTTCTCTGCCATCTGATATGCCAAGCCATATGATGGAACGAGTTGTAAGACCGAACATCATAGTGTAGATATTCTTTGTATATGTTACCAATTGCTGCTACAACTCTAGAGGAAATGTAGGCAGTCGGTTCCCAAGTAATTTAGAATGACCTGTTGCGGATTTATCTCTTCCTTTGAACCTTCTTTCCAATGTTGATTTTGGAACTCCATATTTTTTGGATGCTTTTAGAAATCCACAAGTTCCTTTTTCTAATGCTTCGAGTGCTGGCCATAGATTTTTCAGACCATTTTTGACGCTCAGTCTTTCGTTTCTAATTTCTAGGCATCTGAAACAAAAACAATTCTTCCAAGTTTATTCTTATATCACCCTAGAAAAACTTGAATATTTTTTGCTTTTAAAAGTGTTTTAACTATAGAATTTTCACATAAGGGGTAAAACGGGATATCCCATTTTCCCCCTCCCGGTTATTTCCCGTTTTACCCCACATACTGTTAAAAAAAAATTGTTTGTAATTACCTTGTATGCTCAATATGAGTTGGTTCACTCTTGTCTAGGGGTTGGGAAACTGGCACTAAAGGCGAAGGAACCTCAGTAGAGGTCAACGGCATAAGGATGTAGAAGGCCGAGGACAACCACTACATTAAAGATTCCATTGAATAGTCCTAGTATAAAATCATATATGGTAATGCTCACAACTAAATACGATACCGGAGTAAGTTCCCCAATCGGATCTCCGAGGGGGGACAGTTATGAGTACCTATGAAAAAGAAAAAGCAGCAAAACCACAATTTTTAAAAATTTGCACATGGAATGTGAAAACTATGGCAAGGAGTGGAAAAATAGACAATGCCATTCAGGAAATGGAAAGAATGACCATTGACATAATGGGAATAAGTGAGATGAGATGGCCCGGAACAGGAAGCATTGACAAAAAAGATCACAGAATATTCTACTCAGGGTCACTAGATGGAAAACTAGAGCATGGAGTTGGTGTGATAATAACGAGAAAAATTAGTAGATGTATTTTAAATTTTGTTCCAGTGTCCAACAGAGTAATACTACTGCAAATTAGAGCCAATCCAGTGAATGTAAACATAATACAAATATACGCTCCCACTGCAGATAAAGACGACGAGGAAGTAGAGACTCTCTACCAAAGCATAGAGGATATATTAGAACGAATATCTAAACATGAAGTCAGCATCATAATGGGGGATTTCCATGCAAAACTTGGGGCCGAACGGAAAACGTCTCTAATCGGACCTTTTGGGTTAGGACAAAGAAACGAAAGAGGTGACAGACTAGAAATATTCGCAGAAGATAACAAGCTAGTGGTTCTGAACACATTTTATAAAGTACCACCGAGGAGATTGTATACATGGAAGGCACCAGCAGATAAACCCCATAACGTAATTAGAAACCAGATAGATTATATATTGGTAAATAGAAGATTCAGAAACAGTTTTAAATCTGTCAAAACATATCCAGGAGCGGACATTGAATCTGACCACATATCTTTAGTGGGAGTCATTGATGTGAGACTGAAGACAATAAAGAAAAAGTCTAGACCTAACTACGACATGACAGCCCTGCAACATCCGGAAGTTAAAAAGCAAGTGGGGAAATATATTAACAATCAAGTTAAACAACTAAAAGAAGAAAATAACATCCAACGAGAAATCAATCAATTCGAAGAAATAATTAAGAAAACTAAACAAGATCTGCTAAAACCAAACAAAGAAACAAAGAAGAAATCTTGGATGACTCCAGAAATCCTTCATTTAATAGAACGCAGAAGGTTAATTAAAGGAAATAAAGATGAGTATAAAAAAATGCAGGCTTACATCAGAAGAAAAATAAGAGAAGCTAAAGAAAAAGAAGCTGTAGAGAAATGTAAAGAAATAGAAAGACTACAAGCCAAGCATGACAATTTTAATGTACACAAAAAGGTAAAAGAAATAACGGGTACTTTTAAAAAGCGAACACAAATGAAACTCATAGACACCAATGGAAAATTAATCATTGACACCCAAGAGATGAAAAACAGATGGAGAATATATTTGGAGACACTTTTTCTAGACCAAAGAACGGATTATAGGCATCCATTTTCAGAGAGGATGACGGGCCCGGACATACTTAAATCCGAGGTAGAAGAAGCAATGGATGAAAAGCAGGAAAGCTGTAGGGCCTGATAATATCGAAGCTAAATTTGTAAAACTCTTGGAGGAAGAAGGAATAATTTGGATCACGGCTGTCTTCAATAAAATATACAATACAGGAATCATCCCTGATAAATGGCTAGAATCAGAATTCATAGCGATACCTAAAAAACGGGGGCTAAAAAGTGCGAAGAATATCGAACAATCAGCCTAATGAGCCACATGTTGAAACTGTTTCTTAGAGTCATCCATGGAAGAATTTATAAGAAGTGCGAGGAACAAATATCGGACAGCCAGTTCGGCTTCATTAACGCAGTGGGTACCAGAGAGGCACTTTTCGGAGTACAGGTACTGATTCAAAGATGCAGGGACGTTAACTGCGACGTATACGCGTGCTTGATCGACTATGAAAAGGCATTTGACAGAGTTCAACATCAAAAGATGATAAACATTTTAAAAGAGGCAGACCTGGATGACAAAGACATCAGAATAATTTCAGAACTCTACTGGAATCAGACCGCATACATGAAAATAAACGGAGAAGAAACATATCACATAAAAATACTACGTGGAGTTAGACAGGGATGTATCCTATCGCCGTTGATATTTAATATGTACTCAGAGAAGCTCTTTAACGAGGCTCTTTACGGAATAGACGAAGGCATCCTTCTAAATGGTGAAAGAGTAAACAATGTTAGATATGCCGACGACACCATGGTGATAGCAGATAGTTTAGAGGGACTTCAGAGGCTAATGGATAGAATAAACGAGTACAGTCAACAGTACGGACTTAACATTAATACCCACAAAACGAAACAAATGATTATCAGCAAGGAGAATATAAATGGGGCTCATCTATACATTAATGGGACGCAGATAGAGCGAGTAAAACAGTATTGTTACCTGGGAACTATTATTAACGAACAGTGGAGCAACTTACAGGAAATAAAGTGCCGCATAGGAAAGGCAAGAACGGTCTTTAACAAAATGAGCGCCATCTTCAAAAGTCACAACATATCCCTTGATACAAAAATGAGACATTTGAGATGCTATGTTTTCTCTGTGTTGCTGTACGGGGCGGAGGCATGGACGCTTACAGACACCACTATTAAAAAACTTGAAGCATTTGGGATGTGGCTTTATAGAAGAATGCTGAGAATATCATGGACAGCAAGGATTACGAACAAGGAAGTTCTAGGAAAAATGAAGAAGGAATCAGAGATTGTGTTTACGATCAAACGCATAAAATTGCAATATCTGGGACACATTATGAGAAATCAGCACCGTTACTCCCTGCTACAGTCTATATTGCAAGGTAAAGTCAAAGGTAAGCGAGGACCCGGTAGAAGAAGAATAACATGGCTGCGGAATTTAAGAACATGGTTTAAGAAAACCTCAACGGAGCTGTTTCGAGCCGCAGCGAGCAAGGTTATGATTGCCAATATGATTTCCAACATCCGAAACGGATAGGAACCAGAAGAAGAAGAAGATCCAATTTTACCTTACCTTCCCCTACCATTATTAAATACATGTTTCCATTGACAGTATGCATATTTTCTAAAAGAAATGCATGTTTAATGCATATTTTTGGGTAAATTTGTGCCATAGGTATACGCATTTTTTTTTCATATTTACATAAGTCTAACTAATCAATATTGGTTGTATTTATGCAACAAGTATTTATAGAATATAGATAGTTGTACTGACGGTCAAAGTACTAAAACTGTCATACCTAGATCATATAATCAGAAATATAAAATATCAAAAGCAATCCTTTTAAAAATATCATAAATAACAGAAGAGGACATTCGTGACTAAATAATCAATAATTCGTGAAAATTATTCAACATCGTCAATAAACAGTTAGTATCAAAAATAGGCATAACCTTAATGGTTATACAACAAAACGTGCGAAGGAGAACCACCTTCTCTGTAATATAGTCCTAAATAAATTATAACACGTGTATTAAATAAAGAACATTATCTATTCAATTTGTGCAATATTCAGTTCTTTTTGTATTTTTAACGTAATCATGATTCATACAAAGAACTATTCACCTACTGACGGATTACAATATATAGGTAAGCTAACAGAACTTCCCTTTTTTGAACAGTTGTATTCATGGAATTAATATGTACCTGTGATTCATAGAACATCGCATTAAGTTCAGAAATTAGCATAAGCTGATGCCGACGCAAGGGCATACGATCTCTCCCCAGTTTACAATACATGACAGTTGCGTAACCTACATCCCCGCAATATTAAACTATAAAATGCTATTTGGTACATTACAATAATCTCCTATGACTTCATACGCTCATAACTAAAAATACGAAGTTCAAAGTGTTGTTTTGCCACCTATAATATAGGTCTGACTATAGTCTGCTGCGCGTTTTTCTATGTGAGTTTTTTTATCTAATATTACATATAGATGTCCCTTTTTCCTTATATGATAGTGTTATGTTACCCAATTTATATGTTGAGATGTCGGTGTGTTGTGCCTGGTAAAAATATTTTATCTGGAGCAAGATTAAAACCTATGTTCTGCATGGCCATAACCAACAGAGTAAATGAATTATTTAGTGCTTGTAATCGTCGTTCATATTTTTTTCTCTGGAAGTACATAACAAAGTCGTCTGCATATTGGATTATTTCAATTTCCCTTGTGAATGAGTGTAAAGAAGCAGTATTTAAATTGAATGTATAATATATAATATTTTTGTTATATTATATCTAACATTATATGGATGTGTATTCAGTTATGAACCAAATTGCACTTTAAATTAATCTGCGGTGTAAGCTCTAAGCTTTATTTATTTTGCCATTGAACAATACAACGAAATGTCAAATATACACATTCCTAACGCCAAAGCATTAAGTTAAATTGACCAATTTCAAATTTAAAGTTGTTATGTTTGCTCGACAGGGTGGCAATTTTTGAAAGCATTATTTTTTATTACTTTCAATTTTTCATATGAGTTCCAATTGATTAAAATCGTAAACTTTATCTCCAGTTTAGAGATTGCTAAATCCCTAAACTGTTTGACACTCTAATGTATTCAAATTTGGATGTACATACGCAAGACACCATATTCTAATGAAAATAAAATTTTAGAGTTATGAGTATGGCCTTTGCACGTTTTATTCCAATTGGATAGAGAATAATTAAACAGGGTAATAGATGGTATATTTATAATGCATTCATTATAATATATTTTTATACACGTATAAATAATTAGAAACGTAATATATGTATATATATATATATATATATTGAAAAAGTTGTATTTTATTAATTTTATTTTTTTTATAATAAATGTTGTAATTTTTAAAATATGTGGTTCGTTGTTTAATTTAATATATACCTCAGCTAGCTCAATTATGTGTTCTAAGCAATCTGTCACTGTGTGACGTCGACTCTGTAGTCTCCTGGTAGAGTTCAAAAAGAAATTAAACCAAAATTTACTTTAGACTTTTGATAAATTAACCCAAATGAAGCACGTTATTTATTAATATTGAACAAATTTAATATAAACAATAAAATTCGTCTGCAACTTGGTTTGCCTTTAAAAATTTACAAAAATAGGAATCGTGTAAATCTTAATGTGGTTTAGTGTCGTGACAATAAAAATTTATTACAAAATGTGGAGACTCTCTACAAGTACCTAAAAACTAAATAAATATTGCAACTTTATAAAGTGTTTAAATGAACTATAAAGAAAAAGAAAATGAACACTTTATTCCGCTGACTTTCAACTTGCATTCAAATATAATCAAAATTTCAAATGATCCCCAAAATTATTATCCAACCTCACTTTAAAACAGTTCTGATTTTTTAAAGAAAACTAACTACTCGCAAAATAATCGGTGAAACTGGAATATCAATCCTCTCTTCGGAAGTTAAGGTAGTACGTACTATTCTATTTTTAATTTAATGATCATTAATATTTTCAATTTTTAAGGCCTATCGCAATTATGTTAATTCATGAATTTTAATTTTCTCAATTTAAATGACATTTCTGTACTCCAATAATAATTTATAAGTCAAATTGTTTCTCTTACTCTCTGGAACAAATTCTGGATATCTCTGCTGTGGAAACTGTGGAAAAACTAAAATTCTAATTAGACGAGTTAAAAAACACTCCCGACCTATTCCACAGTTTCAGGGCTCCCCTTCGTCGAAAAATCCTCGTCGGCTTCCCCAAAAAAACCAATTATCCGTTGCTAACAGCAACCAACGTTCTTTTTCTTTTCGTCTTCTATTTTTTTTAAACCATAAAACTGTCCTGTTCTGACACATTTGTCAATCCACATTAATTTCTCATAATCACTTTAATCACATCTAATTTGGGAATTTATAAAAAAAATGTTCAGATATAAAACTTATTCTATTACAATGCTAATACAATTTATTCTTTTCATCTCCACATCATTGTAATTTCTTATTTAACAAAACCCCTATTAATTTAGCTCCCACAGACTTGCTTGACAGTTTATTTTCTGACGTTTTTTT